AGTTAAACATTTCACAAGATTATTCCACAATAAACTTTAAGCACTTCATATGGGTTGCTTGAATATTTCCAATTTTATATAATTCAAAATCATACACAAATGTGTCAGCCTAAGAAGTTCTTCCTTAAAAATTTAGTTTAATTAATTAATCTTCCAACTCTAGCTTTCCTTATTGCTTATTTGAAACCACATTTCGAAGATGAATTAAATTTAATTTCTTTAATTTTTGTTGTTATTAGAAAACTCAAAACACAACTCTCACGGATATCTTGAGATTTTAACATTCCATAATCTCCAATATAGTGTGGAAAGAATCAAATTACTCTAAATGAATACGAATTTAATAAATTTCAAATTAAAATTAATAAAATAAGTATTTATTTTGTTTTACAAAGCAGATATTGATCCCAAGTTTTTATACTCATATAAGAACCGAGTGATACACAAATGGCCAAAATAAAAATTTTGAGAAACTTAGTGGTTCAGCAGTCTCATTCTATTCAATTCCTTGAATCTCTAATTTAAATATTTATTTGGCTTTTTCTTTCAAAATCCATTTATACTTGTAATTAAGTGTATTTATTACATAATTTATAATGGATTATTACAAATGGAATCTCTAGACCCTTAATCATTAATATCATTCTCGATTTCGTTCCCTTCCTCTAATTATTCCATTAGAGATTCCAAATTTTTTTTTTCTATTATGTATAAAATCGGAATATAATTATTTACTTTTCCCTTCTTTTATGTTTTAAAGATCCATTCTTATTTGAAGATCCCTCATTTTTAATTACTTTATTCAAAATAATAGGGCAAGAAAATGTTTATTTGCTATTTATTTAGTTTTCTTGTTGATTACAAGATAAAACATACGAAATTATATCATACCAATCAAAAAGCTTATTTTGGACCTAAAGCTCAATAATATTCTTTTGGATATTATTTAATTTTGAACTTAAAATATTGTTGGCTTTAATAAAAAATTGAGATATCCAAAAAGATTTCATTTCTGAAGTTCTATGCAGAGAGTTAGTAATTAACTTCTCTCATATTTGTAATAATTCCTTTAACATTTTTTTGTTTAATGTATTTGTTTCCATATCATTTAATAAATTTATTATCTATATAAGGAGTCTTGAAATAATATCTCATTACTAACGAAGAATCAATTTTATTTGAAACCTCCAAACCTACTTAATAGAATTCTGCATCCTTTTGGTCGAAGTTAGAAAACACAAAAATACAATCTTTTGTAAATATGAAAGTCCAATCCATTAGATAGATATAGCAGTTATATGTGTACAGCTAATATATATTGCAATAAAACAATTGGGAGATTGAATTTTAATGTTTAAGTTTAAATAATTTCACTTCTAAATATTGTCAAGAGGAAAGAACTTTTAGAATTATCTTGAATAATTTAGGTTTTCCCTTCTAATCTAAATATGTGGAGTGTTATAGGAGTGTGATCAATGAAATAATAAATTGTTTTAATAGTGTAAAAAGAAATCATCAACCGTTAAATGTAAGTAAAATTTCAAATTAAATATCATTGCTGATTAGTTTTCGACACCAAATTTAGAGCACTTTGCATAAATTATAAATTAGATAGTATAAATCATCAAAAAAAAGAAAAATTAAATAATATCAATCAAATAGTATTCAATAATTTATCATAGCTCATAGTAAAGATTTCTTAATTTATCAAAAGAAAATTTAAGTGTAAAAAGATTTTATCCCAGTATATTCAATCTTAAAATTTAAAGATTCTTAGGTATTCCAAACTCAGTAACTTTCTATTCTTTACGATTTAATAGAGTCATATGATTACATAAAAATAAAGTG